TCTTTATTGATAATTTTTTTGTTGCGTATCCTTGGTACCGCTCTTCAAGTTCTTAGTGACTCTATGTTTGGTCATGTCAGTCATGCTCTTCATAGAAATAATGTACATGGGGATCGTTATAGCTTATGTCAAGTTATTTAAGAGAAAACCCGAGAAAGTATACAAATGGGAAGCTATGAATGATGACATTGAGTATGGCAGTTCCTTGTACCCGATGGTTCTCGTCCAAATACCTATGTACAACGAGAAAGAGGTATCGAGAACTACTCTTTGAGCTACTTATTCATATGTTTGGTTACCTTTTCTACCATCCAGTTATTTGTTTCGTTTGATTCTGTTTGTTGTTCTTATGTTTTGGTTTTCTTTCGGGGGTTTTACTGGTGGAAGGTGTGTCAGCTATCAATTGCAGCTGCTTGCAAACTCTCTTGGCCATCGGACCGTATCATAATTCAAGTTCTTGACGATTCTACTGATCCAGCCAGTAAGGTCCTATAATTCTATAAACACTTCCCCTTTTCCATTTCGCTGGTATATTCACCTTAGTTGAGTGTTCAACATAGGTCCGTATATGCATACATTAATCTCGGGACAGAATTTGAATTCATTTAGGTCCTGTTTATCTTGCTTGACTTACACTCTGGAGTATGTGTTTGATTGATTTTCTTGACGTTTTCGATACACCTGTATTGATGGAAATGAACAGGAGTTGGTGGAACAGGAGTGTGAGAGATGGGCGAGAGAAGGCGTGAATATAACATTTGAAATAAGGGATAACAGGAATGGGTATAAAGCCGGTGCTCTGAGAGAAGGAATGCGGCATAGCTATGTCAAGCAATGTGACTATGTTGCCATCTTTGATGCTGATTTCCAGCCTGATCCTGATTTCCTCTCGCGTACCATTCCATTCCTTATTCACAACCCCAAGATAGCGCTTGTTCAAGCTCGTTGGGAATTCGGTAACGTCCTTGAAAAATTCATTTTTTGCCCCATATTCCATAAAAGTCACATGTCAATGTGACACACTGCTAAAAACATCTTCTGGTTTATGTGATAAAAATCTAGTGTAGATTTCATATTTCTGGTGTCCTGTTTTCCTATGTTTTAGGAAAAAGCATGAACTGGTCTGAACAACTGCAGAGTACTAAAATTTGCAGTTTCGGCTTTTTATTTTACATTTTGTTGTAGTGATTTTCTGTAGCTTATGGCTCTACCTCAAAAAGGCATAATGTGTTAGAGCATTGGCCAGCTTGGTTACAGAGTAATGAGTTGAGTGAGATGCTTTGGTCGTTTTCACATTATGATTTTCCTTTTGGTAACATTTACTTGTGTCACAGTAAATGCGGATCAGTGCATAATGACGAGATTGCAGGAGATGTCTCTCAGTTACCATTTCAAAGTAGAGCAAGAAGTTGGGTCTTCTGCATTTGCGTTCTTTGGATTCAATGGTAAAGCAGGAGTTATTATTGTCAAATTTGTAGGTCACTGCAACAATATTATTAAGCCTGAAATTATTGCAGGAACAGCTGGTGTCTGGAGAATATCAGCTCTGAATGAATCTGGAGGCTGGAATGACCAGACTACAGTAGAGGACATGGACTTGGCTGTCCGGGCTACCCTCAGAGGCTGGAAGTTTGTGTATGTCGACGATCTCAGGGTATATATTTAGTTATACACCTCTTACTATCTGTTTTTGAAGTACATTTCAGGAAAACCCGTTTAAGATTGACATTTTCGGTTGTGCATTTGAGCCATTTGGAGTCTGTGGTGTAGGTAAAAAGTGAGTTACCAAGTACCCTCAACGCATTCCGCAACCAGCAGCATCGATGGACTTGTGGGCCCTCCAATCTTTTCCGCAAAATGGCTGGAAAAATAATCAGAAGCGAGGTGCTGAATGAAGAACCTACGCAAGTTCATGTTTGGTTTCCGTAGAACAAAAGGAACTGACTATCTGCAATGCATATCCCCTTCTAATGCTTTCCTTCCTTCCAATGTTTTGCAGAATGTATCCCTGGGGAAGAAGTTTTATATGATCTACAGCTTCTTCCTTGTTCGGAAAATACTGTCACATATCATCACTTTCTTCTTCTACTGTATTGTCTTGCCAACAACGGTGATGATTCCAGAAGTCGAGGTTCCAAAATGGGCAGCCTTTTACCTCCCTTCTACAATCACTCTCTTCATCGCAACTGGTAGACCAAGGTCTCTTCTCTATAAACAGTTTCATTCATATTGATTCATCTATCTGCTCATCCTTTTCTTTCCTTAACATAATCTTGATGTTTACAGATCATTCCACCTTCTGGCATTCTGGGTTTTGTTTGAGAATACAATGTCCCTTCTTCGAACAAAGGCGCTGGTGATGGGTCTTTTAGAAACTGGAAGAGTGAATGAATGGGTTGTGACCGAGAAACTAGGCGACCCTCTGAAGACAAAACTGATTGCTGAAGCCCCTAAAGAGCCTCAAGCCAGATTCCGGGATAGGTGAGCTTTACCCTGAACTCAAAATCTAATAGACTATAAATATCAGCTCTGATAGTTGATAGATAAACCTCGCTGAGTTTAAGATCATGGAACGTTGAAATTTCGGTTTTAGGGAGACTGTATCATTTTAAACAGAGTACGGAACGAAACTGAAAGATACTTGACCGTGGTTTTTTGGGCGATTTCACCAACTCCTTTGAACCAATTCTCGTTTGATTCCAGCTTGTTTTAGCACCGAATCAGCTCAAGATAGGCGGAAATACTATATTTTGTTTTCGCAGTTTTGTTACAACGGGGTTATGGTATGTGCAGAGTGCATTTGCTGGAAGTTTGTGTCGGAGCTTATCTACTGTTCTGCGGATGCTACGATGTTGCCTACGGGAACAACTTTCTCTTCGTCTATCTCTTGTTGCAGTCCATGGCATTCTTCCTGGTCGGTTTTGGCTTCGTGGGCACGCTTGTTCCTCCGAGTTCTTAGCCAGTCTCCGCTCCGTTTCTCCGCCCCTTTCGAGCAAAACCATAGTGTAAAGACTCTGAAAGGGCCTCTTCAGTCTGTCATTCTTTGAGGTAATTGAGAAGAACAAATGCCAAACACCGAAGCTCCTTCCCATAACAGAACCGACCGGTTTTTGTATAATAGACACAAGTTGATGTAAGAGCTACCGATTTGGACCTACTGGTCATTAGGCAATCACTCCTAGTAAAGGTAATCCTAATGTTTCAATATCCGATATGGTTTCTATGGTTTTTATTATTATAATTATATGATTATATCATCGTCACACGACATTTCAAATGATTAGTTATACGAAAATTATAAATTTTTTTATAAAAAAAAAAACCATGCTTACATATGTAAAATTTAACAATCTCGAAAATATTGGGTATTCAGATTTAAATTATTATAGCATATTTTGCATCTTAGCTTAATAGCTTGAATAAAAATGTATAGGAAAAAATAGAGAGAGAAATATTTCACTGATTGTAACAATGAGATCAACAATAACGTGATCATATGTAAAAGTAAATCATATATATACATTATATTCAATTTTATATCATGTGTACACGCATGCATAGAGAATATTTTTACATATAAGACCGATATTAAATTCTTATTTAATAGGATATTACTATTAGAAAAATGATTAGTTTATTTTTACAGGAATTCCAGCCAAATTATCATTAAAATATACAAATTACAAAAAAATTACACTAAATAGTTAAAACTTTCACCGGGGTTATGCATTATGAATCGGATATGATAATTAATATATATATATATATATATATGCATATGCCACATGGATTTTTGAATAAAATATGCCCTAAAACACACAACTTGTGTGTGAAACTGATCTGACAGCGCAGCATAAATCCAAAACAAAAATTGGTGGTGCAGCCATTTCGGGCGTTGACGTTTTCCGAACGTTGTTACTAATAACGATGAAAATCAAGAAATTATTATATTCGCATTCACATTTGTGGTAGGTGTAATTTGGCAGTGTAAACTCCATTTTCTTGTATATATTATTACTATACTATATATGCATGCAACAGCGAATATTATGTTGTTTCATATTATATTCACCATTCGGATGATTAATTAATGTCGATTAATTCTAGAGATCTTCATATCGTTTTTGTTGATTTTTAACTATCATTATATATAGTTTCAGATTTTTTTGTTTTGTTTTTTTGGGATCACCCGAAATTTCGTCTAAATTAACGTATATGGGAAATGTAGAAAATTACAAACTAAATATGTATATTATAATCTAATAAGGACGGATTTATCGATTGTTAAAAATAAAAGATTGGTTAATAGAAATATCCACCGGGTGCCAACGAAATTAACAATATAAGATTTCGACACATCCCTAATATGAAATTTGTAAAAATGAAAAGAATAATTGGATTTTAATTAACGGATTCTTTAAGATCCACATTTCTTTTTTTGTGTCTGAACCGAAGATCCGCGACTTTGTTTATGTGTCCTAAATACGAACGATTTAATTAAAAGAACGTGAACCAAACTAATTTAATTAAAAATATGAACGAATTTAAAAAAACACAAAAAGAGAGAAAGAAAACTTTCCAAAGTTCGTTGAAAGCAAGACATTGGTAGCAGCCAGCCACCAGCCGTTGTCCCACTCACCTACAACTAAGGAAAATGTTAGACCAATTAATTGCGTATTGAATTATTCTCGATATGGAAGATTTCCTTTTATAATTAGCATATACATATCTATACACACACACACGTATATATGCATGTATGTATGTATGTGCGTGAGTGTCCGGAAAGGCAACAGAACGCACGCGGCGTCTATATATATATATATATAAAGGTTTCGGCAATAACGAAGAAGGGACGCAGCATACACTTGAAGAGCACAGAAGGTAATGGCTATGGAGTTTGAGGTTCCACCTCAGAGCCACGGCGATTTCATCGTCACCAGAAACGGAATCGGAGGGTAATGTTTTTTTTTTTTTTCGATTTTACGTTTTTTTTTGAAGATGTTTAAACTTTGAACACTAGAAATTAATTTTTATTTTTATTTTTTGCATTTTGTTTGTACTCAAACTATGACAGGACAGCGGCATTGAAGTACTTGGACCCGTTTGTGTCGTTCTCCGATTTTTCAAGTAAAACCCATACTATTCTATACACACACACACACACACACATATACACATAAACATGTATATACGACCTAATTAAGCAAATGCACATGGGTTTTTATGCAGTGTCTCACCATGCCGGATTCGATGATCATCCGCATAGAGGTGTGTGTATATATATATATATATATATATATATATATATATGCTTCAATCACACGTGTTCCTAAATACCAATGCCTAATTAAGCAGAGATTCCACGTCGAATCTTGATTTTTTTTTTTTGGATGCAGGTTTCGATTCCATCATGTACGTGTTGGAGGTGCGTATAGTTTTGCATGCTCCTGCAGGTGGTTGTGTTCATCGTGTAACGTATAACACTTGGTATAGTTGTTTTTGGTTTTGGTTAGGGAGCTGTCGATTACAGAGACACGAAGGGACACCATGCTACCATTAATTCTGGTGATATCCAGGTCCATTCACACCAATTATTTCAATTATTATTTTTTCATTGTTTTTCTTTTTGCTAAAATATTATTTTTTTTATTTTTTTAATTGTTTTGTTACACTTTCTAGAGATATAATTTTTTTCATTGATTTATATCTACCTCTTTTTTTTTATTCACAACCATCCAAAATATAATTTAAAGTTAAAAATTTACAGTCTAAATCTGAAACCGAAACCGACGGCAATTTATTATATCTTTATATACATATATACATATAAAGAAATAACATATTACGATATCTATAAATATGCTGGGTTTTTATTATAATTTTGTATATTTGAAAAAGAAATATAATAGATATAAATGAATTGTAAAATTGGACAGTGGGTTAAAACGGGGAGAGGAACAATCCACTCAGAGAAGGCAGCAGGCGAAGGGGTCACTCGAGCTATTCAACTTTGGATCAACGTTCCTTCTTCCAACAAAATGTATGATTTTTTTTTTCCAAAATCAATTTTACTTTCTTAGAAATTATAATCGATCCGATTTGTCTAATGGAAAACAATACATATACTCGGAATTTTTTTTTTTGTGAAAACTATAAAATGATTCGATTCTCATGCTTTGATTGTGTTATTGGAAATAGTGCAAATGTCAAAATTTTCATTTTTCTTATTTCTCTCTCGTTTTTTTTTTTTGTAAAGTTTATGTTTTTATTACAAATTCAGAGATTTTCTGATTTCCGTACGTTTCCACTTCCACAAAACGTGAAACCAAAACTTGTTCTGCGTGCAGGGATTATCCCGAATGCATGGAAATCCCAAGCAACAATATCAAAGAGAGGAGATATGAAGCATACACAGTCAAAACAATGGCGGATCATCTCCCACATCCAATCACGTTTTCTGATTACGTTCTTGATCCAATGGCTCATCTCTCTTGGAATCTTCCGCAAGGATGGAACGGTTTCGCGTACGTTCTAGAAGGCAGGGGAACCTTTGGGCCGACGTCGTGCGGGTTCAACAACCCTTCTAAACCCAACACACTGGTCGTTATGCCCAGTTCTCCGACCACCTTCGGGGTGTATAACGATGACCGTAAGTCGAGACTGAGGTTTCTGCTGGTGGCAGGACGACCTATCAACGAACCCATTGTCCAACACGGTCCGTTCGTCATGAACACGAAAGATGAGATTGATCAGACGATTCAGGATTACAGATGCCGTAGCAACGGCTTTGATTGAGGGCTTTTGCCTAATTTTAGCTTTTAGTATTTTGGAACAAGGGTTTGTTTTTTTATTTATGAATTATGAATGTTGTTAATTAAGATTCATTTGGATTTTCTAGAATTTGAATATTATATATATATTATGTAATTTTTCTATTACCTATATCAATCTTTTACTGTTTGCGGCCCGGTTCGAAGTCTCACTAATCTATAATGGGCCTTATTATTACGTAAGCTCAATAATAGGCCCAATATCAAAATTATGGGCTTAAGGGACCCACAGAGAGAGAGAGAGAGATAAGCCCACAGTGCCGAAGCGGATCCTAAATCAAAACCTTCCACAGTCGTCTTTCCCCTCTTATCCGTTCACTCTGAAGGGGGGAAAATCTCATCTCTGCTGCAATGGCTATGGCGATGGCAACTGCTGCAGACACTGGGAGTAGAGTCTGGAGCATGACTTCTCTCCGATCTGCTCTTCCTCATCTCCATCCTTCCGGTTCTTCCTCTTCCTCATCCTCCTTCCGGTTGTCTTCCTCCTCTCGCCGCTCCGCCCTTCGCCTCCACATCTCCCGTCCCCCTCTTTCGCCGGTTTTTCCATCTTTTTCTGGCCTCTCTCCTCTCAATCCTCTCGGCCTCCCAGGTAATTTAGTCTCCTGTTGCACCTCCCTCTTCGGTGAGTTTCTCCCAACTTTTGTCCTAATCGGACCACGGCTGCAGATTTCAGCAGCTTCCAGGAAGGTTTCACCGTCATCGACAATGGCTGTCGCGTTTTCGCCATGCGGCACGGCAGGCGGGTTCCGAAGCTGAACAGGCCTCCGGATCAGCGTCGAGCCCTTCTCCGCGGTCTCACCACTCAGCTGCTGAAGCATGGGCGCATCAAGACCACGCGCGCCAGGGCGAGTGCGGTGCGGAAATACATAGACAAGATGGTGACCCTCGCAAAGGATGGTTCGCTTCACAAGAGAAGGCAGGCCCTCGGGTTCATATACGAGAAGCAGATAGTCCACGCCCTGTTCGCCGAGGTGCAGGACAGATATGGCGACAGGAACGGCGGTTACACCAGAATCATCAGAACTCTCCCCAGGCGTGGCGACAATGCTCCCATGGCCTATATCGAGCTTGTCTAATGTTTTCTCCTTCATTCTTCTCGCCTTTAACGTGATCGAAATCCGATTTTTATGTTTTCCAGATCTGCAAATGAACCACTCTTCCCGTTGGAGCCTGTCAAATGATTGAATCCCTAAGACAAAGTTGCATAAGATTCTAGGCAGTAAGAACAGTAAGATGTTCATGTTCATCATCTCTCTCAAGAAGATATGACAAAGTTCACCCAAACAACGCTAATTCATTGAACAAACTGGGACGATGGATTCGTGATTTTAGATTCTGCAGAATCCATGTTTGGATGCTGACAAAGCGCAGAGAAAGATGAAAGAAAACAGAGACGAAAGGGGCAATCTTTGTCAATATTCTACTCGATTATCAATACAACAAGTACTGTCTATTTAGGGTTCGCACTTGTTTCTAGAAGACAGGTACTAGAATGTTGGATTGTCCGTGTTAAGGTTTCTTGCAAATTTGATGTGGGTGAACTAAACAAACGTTGGAAGGGGTTAAAGCTATGCTAATCATTCTTTTGCCCAACGCCAGAGGTAAATCTGAATCGGCGGCAACATATCTACGGTACAAAGTACGATGAAAGATCCCTTAAGATACAACAGATCCCATGAACAGAAAGCATTTTGCTTTCCATTGCCATTTTCTCAGTGTTCATCAGATTCTTTGTTACCTTCTTCCAAGAATCTTGCTTTAAGATCTTCAAGTTTCTTTCCCGAAAACCCTTCAGGCAAAATCTGCATAAAACCCTCTAATAATTTAGTAACCCAGAAATTCAAATCTAAGATTCTTCAATTTTGGTGTCACAGACAGAGAAAAGGGTTTTGTTCCATGTGGGCATATGATAAAAGCAGAAGCTCTGTGTGATCCATCTAACCTTGAATTACATACAGCAAGGCCTTCTTTGTTCAATTTCAGGCTGCCTTGGGACTAACCGAAGAGCTGGTGTTATACTTCCGGAGCCAAAAGCTAACGAGAAACGAGTCCATGACGATCTAACATTGTCGGGGATCGGTTAAAATCAAAGGCATTGGAACCTCATTCCCTGCAAAAAAAAATTCAAAGACAAAACTAGAGTGGAGAGGAATATTATTATATGACCTGAATAAGGTGAGCAGCCACACAAGGAAGAACCAAAAGCCCTGGTTCACCAAATGCACCTCCTAGTTGCTGAACCACTGCCACCATGACGGGTAGCGTTTTCTACGGGAAAGAAGGTCAAGCCCGTCAGTTTCGGGTTAACGATTAATCGGAAATCATTCTGGCACCAGGCCACGTTATTTACGTAAAGCTATAACTGGAGGATCGACTTTTTTTTATCACCTGGCTTGCAACGAGCAAAACTGCCGTCACATTTTCTTCCCTGGAGAAGGCAGAATTCCTACCACCTGAAACGCTCGAGATGATTCGTATGGAAAGAGCATTGAATGCTAAAAGGGAAAGATGCAGCAATCTGCGAAAACATAGGAATCCTGTCAGTATATTCATGTTTAGAAACATCCAGCTGCGAGGATTTTGAAAATAGTCACCATTTATTTCAGACATCATCGAAAACATTCATTAAGGTTGAATCAGTGTTTATCGAAGATGTTCTCGATCACAACACTAAAAATGATCAGTCGAGAAATTCCTAAAGCGTGATATGGATCATTTTAGCAGAGCACAGGTGAAGTCATCATGAATGAAGTGTGCATACATTCCCATCCCGACCGCTGCAAGGAAAACTGCAGGCTTAACCATTAGTAACAGCGACCTGGACCGACTCACTTGCATCCATGGCACCTGAATGTGCATCACGAGATCAAACCCTATATTAATGACCCTAACAAAAAAAGGTAAATGTGATAACCGACAAAAAGCAATTGCCATATTTTTTCCCCTCGAAATTCAAGTTAACATGAACAACTGCACAATGAATATGCTTTCCTGTTGTTCAATAAGATCCAAAATTGAGTAACACTTGAGAACATATTGAAGAAATGTCAAAAATATGAAAGACAAGTCAGTGCAGATCTTACTAAACTGAGGAAGATTGCACTGATTTTCGAGAAGAGTTTTCGATTCCCGTCAACAAAGTCCGCCAAACCTGCATCAAATGCATTTATAAGAGATTATATTATATTCAGAAGGTCGGTTAGTAACCACAAGATGGAGACTTCTAAAAAGCTTTAAGCTTTCCTTCGACAGGAATCATTTCAGTCAAAGGTTAATTTTCATATTTCAAGAAGATTGCAAGCAATTTGTGCAATGTCGTTTAAAAGCACAATTTAAGCTCCCTCAATACTTGGATGATTGAACTGCAGGGTTTAGTATTTAAAACAAAACTGGAAACCAAGCTAACAAGTCTGAAGATCTTCACTGAAAGGGTGTTTCCGAAATGGTTTATATGTTGCCAGGGAGGTATAACATTTCAAGTATTCATATAGGATAACCTAGAATGCTTATTAATTCAATCACTTGCAATGAAAAGGAAACAGAACATAGAATACTCACCTTTGAAGGATTCCCTCATGACCTATAACAAGAAAATGAAAAAGGGAAATGCATTTAGCGATAACTTTATGTTGTAATTCATTTTTTTGCACGGTTCACAGAACATACTGTCCATAAAAGAATCATAATCGAGATGGTAAATTTAGAAAACTTATCAAATAAAAAGAGCTAAAAGGTAAATATTTTGGACGACATTTCTATGGCATGTGGATTCTGATTACTATGTAGAAGAAGGAAAAGATGCAAAAGGTTGCCTCACCTTTCCAATGATTAGAGGTATTAACAGAGTAACAATAAGACTTCTGAAAAGTTGGCCAGTAGGAATCGAGACGCCCATTCCCGCAGCAATGTATTTCGAGATCCAAATTGGAATCTGATAAAGAGTTCAACCATATTAACTTCAAGGGTAGCATATGTAATAAAAATAGAAGCTCCTGATAACTAGCAACAAAAAAAGGAGATTATGGATACAGAGTGTGTATAATAAGCATTTGCAGCCCATTAATCACACATGATCTACTGTTATTTCATAAGAATAAATTACTTGGTGTCCACTCAGTATAAAAGAAGAAATTATATATGATTTTCTGTGCATACAGACTGGAACTAATCTGCATTCTCAAATACCAAACAGGAAGTGATGCAAGAAAGGCCTACTTACAATTAAAATTCCTAATAAGTTAGATATAAGAGTCATAGCAAGAGCAAGAGCAGAGTTGCCACCAGCAAGCTGCATTGTAAATGTAATATAGTCAGAGAATAACTCAAATCAAAGAAAATAATATCTACACCAAAGACAAATCAAACTGTGTACATGAGTAAGGGCTACACCGCTTGATAAAGTGGTAGGCATACAGCTAAATATTGCCAGCCCTGAAAATAGCATGAAGACTGATTACGATTTTGAAGACCTCGGTAATTCATCGAGACGCTTCCATGTCCAAGCATTTAATTTTGGTCCCCTTTAGGGTACCCTTAAATAGATGTTGCTTAACGTAAAGAACTCGCTGAGATATAAAGAAGGTGATTTAAGACAAGATCAAGGTAGGAAAGACTGGAGACAAGAAAGAGCAAGGCCAATGTATTTAGATTTAGCTACTTGATCAAGCACCTAATCTTTCTACGGGAAAAACAGGTGGTTACTTTGTTGAAAAAAACAAATGTCTATTGCCAATTACAGCTATACTACAACTCATCTGTTCAATTCTACACAACAAAAGATGTAACAACTTCAGGTTAGAACACGATTTTCCAAGGATTAACTTACACTAACTATAAGAAAAAAATCATCTTGTCAAACCTGTAACAAGTTCTTGCGGTTGGAGTTGAATCTGCATAATTAGCCTTGAGAAGAATGGAGTGAAGAATAAAATAGAGAACTGTATCAAAATAACGATAAAACAAGAAACAAAATAAGTCCGAGTTTTAAACATGCAGTTTAATAAAGCTGCTAAATTTTGCAAGCGTTATATCATACAAACGGAGTAAAAAAAATGCATAACATCAAGAATCACTCTATACACTCCAAAAGCGACAACTGTATTTTCATGTCCTCTTGTCTTTCCTCTAAAGGGACCAGCATAGCCTAGCTTAGTGGCAAATTCTAGCTTAGCCTTGCGTTAAGATCACAACTAGATCAATTACATGCAAATATAAAAAAGGTGTGAAAAATTCATAATCAAGGAGCATATTTTCAACAAAACAATTGAAACAAGCAGTAAAAGTAGCCTAAAAAAAGAGAAAAGAAACTGAGCAAGAGGATCACTTGAGAGAGAGAAACCTAAAAATGTATGAAAGCCTAAGTTGTGTAAAGATCATACTAGCCCAAAGACTCCAACAGCCCATGATTTCACAGCTGCTCCGACAGCGTCACTACGTAAAGTCAACCCTGTTCCATAGTATAAACCAAGACTGTAAGAGGCAGCACGAATTCAACAGCAATTGCCCCGATCATAAAGAACAAGAACTAGATACTTGGAAAATTCTGCATTATAACAGATCACCTGATATAATAAATATCCCAAATGTGCTGAACTTTGAGAGAGAGTATTTGTCAGCAAGGCAGCCAGGAACCGGATTTGCAAGGCCAATCACGACACCACTAACAAGAGCTACAAATGAAATTGACATTCAGCTTGAAGTGTCAACATTTTGTTCAGAAATCTCCCAAGAATAACAAACCTGACTGCTCCAACCTTTTCAACTGCTAAACCCAGTCTATAAACATTTCATGTTTCTACGATATAAGTTCAAGAAAGATTATGCAACAGTCATATTAAGGCAACTGTAAACATATAGCCTTGCACGCATTACCATATATACCGTAACGGATCCAAACCATCTCTCATATCTTAGCCTCGATAGAGAAAACCTTGCCTTTGACAAATATATGCACAAGTTAGAAAAAAGAGGATTTGTGCATTTGCAATACGAACATGGTTGCAAACGGCTTTCGTCCTCTAAACTAAAAAATGAATAAAAAAGGCAAAAGCTAGCATACTTTCCACATTATTAGAAGACAAAAACATCACGAGTTAAGAGTTCAAGATGACCTTTATATTACTCTAAATCCACTATACCGTTCATAAAGAATAATTTGCACTACCTAGAGGCAAGAAGTTGTCTGAAGCAATACTCAGAAGCTGCTTCCCAAAACTTAATCTCTTTGTTGAAGCTGAACGAACGTCATGGTCACCTCCCTCGCCCCCTACCTGATTGCACAACCAAAATCTCCACCAATAAAAAAAATTTCTTCTCCTCATTCATTTCTCAATAAAACAACTTCGATCATACCCATTCTCCACAATTCCACAATGTTTTTCTTTCAGACACGAGTAATTTCTGCTTAAATTGCAAGAGACCCAAACAAGTTCTGCGGGCATTTACAAGAACCCAGCGTCCCAGACATCAACCGCAGATACGTTCACACCCTTCCCCTGTTCATGTTCGAAATTGAAACAAAGAGTAGAACCCACATTTTCATCCCCATTTTCTAGGCGAACAAACGGAACTTACTTACTACAGCATACATCATCTACAGTTGATAAAACTCAAAAGAAGTGCAAGACCTTGTCGGATGATAGGCATGCTCTGATGGGTCTGGAAATCCAGCGTCCGCCACAGGAACGTTGACGGCAGATGAAGACGACGGACGTTCTCTCTGGATACGGTGGATCTATCGGGCGGAAAGAGGGCGTTTTGGGCGCTGAAACCAGGAGATTAGCTATTGCCGACATAGTAGTGTTTCCTGCCGAAACACTGATGGAGAAAAAAAAACTAGAATCGAACAGAGAGCAAACAATGAACGAGATAGAGAGGAATTGTTTCAATGGACTGAAGAATTTGAACCTTAAATTCACGAGCTGAAATAATTTTCCGGTAAATCTCCGACCGCAGAGAGGGAGAGAGAGAGAGAGGTAGGCGTTCCGGTTCCATCAGCATAACCGAACCGGTTAAATAAGTTTTGGTTCGGTTTCGGTTAAACCAAAAGTTTCCACTTATGTGGTTATCACAGTTGTCCTTGTACCATAATTTTATCCACATCAGCTATTATGTTGGTTTGATTATTTGAATTCTTAATTTTGCCATTCGAATTTTGAAATGTGATAAATTTCAGATAAATAATAAATCGTCCTTAGTTATATAAGTCTCAATTTTTTTTACTGAATTATTTACAACAAAATGTTATCTTACAATACCTATTATGATTGCCATAAGTGCTGATTCTTGTTTTGTGACACACACATTTTTCTTATAAAAAATATTTAAAAAAAAAAGAGAAAATGAAAGAAAAAGAAAATAAAAATAAACAAAATCAGAAAAATCGAAAAATTGTTTAAAAAAAGAGAAATGAATGCACAAATGAATATGAGTGCTGTCGCACACCCAAAAAAATTCTAACTTTTTTATAAGCCGATAAAGCAAAGCCCATTACTTTTTATCTTGACAAGGACCAATGCAGAATCATCACAACAACAAAGAATCTCGGTGTTGGTTTCTTCTCTGCTTTTTTGGTGGATCATAAACCCATCTGAAGTGAAGAAGTTGTCTGAAAATGGTGAGAGATGGCATCAACTAAACAGACATTGAAGCTTCTCCTTGTCTTCTCCCTTTTCTTCTGCTACAATCTGAATCATGCCATTGTTACGGTTGTTGCTTTTGGACTAAACTCTCCTCAACAAAGCTCCAAGTCTGGTGGTACCTTCTCTCTTTCCATTTCTGTGTGTTTCGGTTCCTCTAAAATTAAATTTTCATGTGCTGTCTGTGATACACAACAAGTTTGGCATCAAGATTATGGTAATAATGGGGTTGGATGATGATCAGCAATTCAACAGTTACTAATGGGTTTGAACGGTGATTCTGGCATCAAGCTAGTAAACTAAACTCAAGATTCTTAATCCCATAAACTCAATGTTTGTTTACTCGGATTCCTAAAATGCTCCAAACCCATCTCTACAAACCCTTTATATATTGTTTCGACTCATCAAACTCTTGATGTTTCTAAGGTTATGTTGAAGAAAGCAAGAACATAGTGGAGAGAGACAGCGCACTTGAAGCTGCGAGGTTGGGAGGAAGAGGCGGTGGCGAAAACGGGAATGTAGTGCAAACAGGTGGAGGAATGGTTCCAGTTTATGCAGCAGCTGGCGAGGCAAAGAACAAACACAGCAAAAAGGCTCATCACAAAGGAGGCTGCACCAATTGCAAGGCCATGGAGCCTCCTCTTCTCGTTCTCCTCCTCTTCCTCACTTTCGCTGCCTCCTCCCTTTTGTAATCCCTTCTCTAACCGTGTCAGTTTTCATTTTGTCTTGTGTATATATGTTCTGTGTTTAGGCCTCGTTTCCCGCAATTAGAACTTTCAATGTAGCAATCAATCTTTGAAGACAGTTTGTTTCAGTTTGAATAAACATGTTGTTGTGGTTGTCTGAAACCAAAACCAGTATCAAATGGGACACAACTGGCATATGGTTATATTTGAATATGCAAGTCTGAAGCTAGAACTGAGAGAGTTGCTGGAGTTTACGTGATTGGAAAAACTTGCAGCGTCCTTTTCCGCTTGATTCGATTTCTTCGCTCCTACTCTTGCATGCCGTGAAGCCAAAGCTGCTTAGTTTCACTTGCCGCTTGCTGTGACTGCTGCCGCTATTACCGTTTTCATCAGTTTCATCTGATTCCCTGTTCAAAGCATGAGCCACAGTATTCATGAGAGAGAACTACAACAGTTATGCCAACACATGAAATCAGAAAACTACTCTGTAAAAGACAATTGTAACCGAACGAGAAATCAGGATCCTTTCACCATCAAGGAACCCATGAAATTGATCACACCTGAAATTGTAACAAAATGCCACTAAGACAGTCTTTTGGCCTTACTCTCACGCTCAGACCAAGAACCAGAACACTTAGACTTGCAACAACATTTGTAAGACCTATAACAATATTCATAGTACCAACCAAAATACATTTCAGCCTGAGCTGTTGAGGACAGCTGAGAACTAACTATTGGCTTTCTCATGTATCATGCTATGCTCTTTTACTGCTATAGATTGGAGAAATGGAGAATTCAAATGGATTTAAAGATAACAGTGATTTCCAAAGCTGCCTTATAGTTTGAGCATCAAAATTTAACTTCTGTATGGAATGTAAATGGTGCATATAGTAGAAAAACACTAACCACGCAACTTCAATGCCATCTTTCAAATGAGAGGTGCAAGTTCCCCAACTGAATCGGACCAATGATGGAAATCCAAACACTGAATGTTTATGATTCTCCAACCATGCCTTCGTCTCAGGATCTGAAGACAAAAGTCAGAACATATTAGGGAAACACTAAAAAAAACTGAGGGGACAATATACAATATGTATGTAAGCACAACTACCTCCAGGATATCCAGAACCAAAGCTCCTGTTTACATTTTCTTCAGTTTCCTCTAGCACCCATTCTCTCAATGCTCGGTCTCTTGTTACCTGAATGTAGATGTTTAATGACTTTGCTAGTAAAAGCTCCAAGATAGTGACACTTCAGAGGAGACTCAGACCGAGTTACCTTAGCAACTATACTTGCCCCACTAACAACAGGATAAAGACTGTCAGCCTTCTTTGATACAACAAATTTTATCGAACGAAACCTCTCAGACAGTTTTGCTCTATACTTCTCAGCGTCTCCCACAGTGTCCAGATAAACCTGGGATGAGATTGTATTTCAACAGAAACAGAAGAGAATGCATCTCAGACAAAACTTGTCGACAAAGAATATCCGTCGCAAAACAAACTTGCCAGCCATCTCAGGAGCATAAATGAAATCAGAAGACAATGCATCTCATATCAATAAGAAGACTCGCCTCTGTCAAAAGAACTCCCATGTTCAACGCCCTACTGATGAGCCCCATTGCCGAGTCATGTGAAATCTCGTTTAAATTAATTTTGTTTCTGATGAAGAGAAACAAAATATATTATGTAAGATTCATCTGAGTATCTCATTAAATCAGTCAACATGTTCATGTTATCCTATTACTAACTTTGCAAGCATCTTGGCTGAAAGTTCCCTGGGGTCAATGACATCAACAGCCCATCCAAGTGACTTATCAGCCTTTAAATTTTCAAACAGTTCTTCTCTCTTCTCCTCTTTTAGAGTCTTTGAATCTGCAAGCATAGAAGCAATTGGCCGTCAGCACTACACATTTCCAAGCAAAAATGAAAAAGGCCATCAAAAGTGTCATGTTTCAATGACAACTAGAGGTTATGGACACACGAAAAAATTACTGGTGCTAACGAAGATTCATCCAAAGAGCTCACATTTATTTTCGAAAAGACAGAAATTAATCGAATATGCACCATGGGGACACCCAAAAGATACAACAGCGAAAGCGCTCTCACCAGCAACGAAAAGAAGTTTCTCTTTGTGTGAATAGCAAAGAAATTCAAGAGCTCACCTCTTTTAGAGAGATTGCACTGAACTATTATCCTATGCAAAATTGTTTTCAACTCTATTTTGAAACAACTATATGCACAAACAAGTCTTCACCAGTCGCCACTACGGAGTGAATTCGAGCCCGGACCTCTACCAATATCTGGTAACAGTGCATCTTCCTCAAATCGTAAAGTTACAATGTTGCTTACGAGTTGTTTCAACCAAGTTTGTGTTTTTTGTATTTTGCTAGCAAATCAAGGCAGTTGTTAACCTAAGACGCTGCCGGACATATCATCTCTATTGATAATGTTTTTGTGCCGTATCCTCAAAACAGACATGGTCTCAACTAGCATTATATCGTGGAGCTGGTCTTCGACCAAGGCACCATCAACATTCGGAATGAAGAGCGAAGGGACATTACCAAGTTAACAATTACGGAAAACCCGATTTCCCTGGAAATCTCCTACACTCACAATCCAAACAAGACCTTAATATTTCATGAACATTGACAAAATAACGATTCACAGAACAAGAAAGACGGAGTTAAAAAAAAGAAAATTTGAAAAGTTACCTGCGAATTTGAGAGAAGCGAGAGTACTCTGGTACGAAATCGGGCAGTACAAACATCCATACACCATGGGTCCTGGTGTTTTTCCGACCAAATCGAACAGATTTTGCCTTATTGTCGAGCATGTAGAGGCAACAGATAAAAGAAACGAGGAGGAGAAGGAGAGTACCGAGAACAGGACCACGCCCGGCTTCGTCAATGCCCATGATGCAAGGTTCCGATGCCCATTCCGGAGTTGTGGACATGGATTCCGATCCCATCTCTCTCTCTCTCTTCCCGCCAGAATCAGATGAATGGGTTCAGAGATGTCTCGTTCCCCGCCAATTTGCTTCTGGTACTTGGTAGTAAGTAATAATCGCTTTTTTTATTCGCCAAAAAAAAATCTGTTGTTTTTATTTCCGTCAAATTTTTATACGATTCCTCGGGATCAAGCAGATACATTAAAAAAGCGATTTACAGATTTAATTAAGCCGCATTGTGCTGAGAATCGGAACCCGACCGGTCAGTTCAACCGGTCGAACCGTGACCCGGATGCTTATATGCTTACTTCTTTTTACTTTTATTTTTGTCCGTATGTATAAAGATCAAAGCGCAGCGCCTTACTGGGCAGTATACCCGGTTTATTGATTGATTATAACCGGTTGAAACCGGTAAACCGGTTCAAACTTGAAACCGATCTGAGAAATACCAAGCGTTTGAAACGCATATAGAACGGCATTTGCGGTAACAACGGTCTGCAACTAAGAACACAAGAAACACCGTAACTCATCCCACACATAGTATGTTCTGTCCTGTTCTTCTAACCTTTTCTTCTTCGGCTAAACCAAAGCACAAACGAATCGGTCTCTCGCCTATATTTACACATCCACAAACGTAGTTTTACCGACAAAGATCTTACTCGATGTTTCTGCAAAGGATGGATGAGATCAGATCTGGATCTCCGAATTTCATGATCAAGTCGAGATACTGCATAGCTTCCTCGGGGAGCAGGCCCTCGAGCAAGAAGTCGAACAGATGGGAATGAGTCACTCTCATCACTTGGAAGCTTTGGTTCAACAGTTTCTTCTGCTGCTCTTTCCCCATTTCCGCCGCCTCCACCAATGGCAACAGATCCCTCTCTTCCTCCTCAAAGTGCCCTTTACACCTCTCCTGTTAAAACATCCGCAACCAAACAATATTCTTTTTTGCTGAGTTTTACATTGCGGATTGAATCCGGTATTAGATATGATCCATCATCTGGTAAGACGTTTTAGCAAGGATTCACCTGTAATGTGTTGAAACGGGAAACGAGACTAGAGAGAGCTTCTGAACAGACAGAGGTTCCGGAGTTCAAGACTCCGATGGATTTGATGTCTTCTTTGATCCCATTCATGATCGGAAGTTCTCTTCCATGTTCCTCGTTTGCAGATCTGCACAGCCCTGCATTATTGCATTTTTTTTTTCACGCAAGAACAGCCCATTGATCAAAACAAAACCCAGCAACAAAAAGGATTACACTGAAAACCAGACCAAACCCATTTCGTCTTTCTGCATTCTCCATCAAGAATTACTACATTTACATGTCGGATTTAGCAGCAAAACTGTGTTTACATGTCTATCTGAAATCTAGAGACAAGCAATTACTATCAAGTCTTACGCCGTTCATGATTTTCTCCATCTCCAACTCCTTCAAGAACCAGTCAAATTATACATGAATGGCACTCGAAACAGACATGTATATAAACAGCTGTTAAACTGATCAAACCAGAAACAGACATGGTGTTGCTTCACTGTCTGTACAATACAGTAATCGACCAAAACATGACAATGAACAGGTAATCAAAATCAAGATGCATCAACGAACATTGACTAGATAAGACTGTTGCAAGATCGGTCAGAATTATGAAGAAGAGAGGTGTGGATAAGGTTTTTTTACCTCGGTCTACGGTTTCGAGAACAGGGAAAAGGATTCTCTCCTCCATTTGAGCATGCTCAAGCATCAGCTCCTGAAGCTGGGAATAGCTCTTCCCGAATTTCCTCATCTCCATCTTCGGCGTTCCCGCCGAAGGATCCGCCGCCTTTCTCCCTCCACGCGCCGCCAGATCCTCCGCCCACCTCGCCAGTCTCTCCACGTGCCACACCATGCTCTTGTGCTGTAACCAAGTAACCCTAACTATCAATGGCGTCGAATCGTCGAAACCCTCCAAATTGAACTTCCCCATCATCAACCTCGGCTACGGGAACTTCTCGTCGATGAACCCGAGCAGAGTCTCCTTGGATCCCGACACCGTGTCCGACCCAAATTGGATTGTCGGCTTCTGATCTTCCGAGGGAACGAATCTGAGAGGAACCCTTTTGTGAAGAAGCGCGAAACGGACATAAGAGCAGACAAGACTGCTCGGCGGTCCCGACAATCTGACGGTGGCGGTTCCGGTGGCATTGTCGGAAGCCGTCGCAACGACGGCGGCGCCGAGGCGTTGCGGGGCGGAGACCCGAGGGGGTATGCCGGCGGCGGCAGAGCCGGAATCTGTGGATTTGATGCAGTCGAAGGGAGCGATCTCGGAGGTGGATTTAGTGGAGCTGGACGAGCAATTACCCATTTTTTTTCTGGGATTTTGGAGATGACAAAGAGAATCAAGAAAACGAAATCGAATCTAAAGAAGAAGAAGAAGAGAGAGAGAGAAAGAGAGAGAGAGGACAAAGAGTGAGATGCAAGCAACTGGAAATATATAAAAAGAAGCGTTAGTTGAAAGGGGGGGAAAGAACACGCCATTAACGAAGCTAATAGCCTAACAGTATGAAACAGACAAGAGTAAATGTCTCTTTCATCGAAATATTTTGAAGTTGATTAAAATCCATTATACTGTAAATCCTCGATTCCACCTTTAATCATTACATTCACTGGGTGATAGATTAGAAAAAAATCAATGATCAAGGATTCAAATATTAAAATATCAAACACTAATTTCTAGAAATGAAACTGCTATGATTAGGCTTATAAATGAAAAAGAAATTGTTTCCTCAGAAATTAGCATAAAATTTTGGTGTTTAGCTTCATGCCACTTTTTCTACCACTTTTGTGGCATTTACCGATTATAAATATATATATATATATATATATATCATAAATATGTTGTAAAAAAACATTTTCCAGCCATATGTTACATTATTAAATTTTATTTTAAATTTCAATGTGGAGTAGTATCGATAAGAATGTAGCTTTCGAATTGGGCGCTGTGGTCGGGTCATTGGAGAAGGTGAGCTCCTTGCCCGTTGGAGTGAGGATTAAGTCAATTATATGTATTTTACCGTTAATCATATGTCGGTTTCTAACATTAATTTTACTTTTAATTTCCGTATCTCTAAGGAATGTTACATGCAGTAAAATTTTCCTTTTGGGGTACAAATGGAAAGGATTCAATAATTGGTTACATCAAATCTTAGATTCGGGGGCATCCGTTTTGGTTTTATTAATTATTTTTATTTTTTTATGAAAACGTCATACAAGTAGCACATCTTTTATATAAATAATTAGTATAATAATTCTAAAAACTAATATAGCAAAATTTTATTTTTTTTCTATTTCTATTTCTATAATTTAATTTTTTAATCGACTAAACTCAATAATTCTAATAAAAATTCTTTTCGCATGACTAAAGAGATTCTTTATTAACAAAAAATTTATATGTATCTTATTTTTTAACAAGATTTTATCTTTAAAAACTTCTAATTTAATATAAAAATCCTAAAATCCAATTTATATAAACTACGTATTTGTCTTAATTCTAACATCTCTTTGTCGGATTACCATGAATGACGAACCCATGAAAGTTTTATGAATTTTTTTCCAAAAATTTATCTCTAATCTTTTTTTTTTCTCCATTTTCTTTTCAATTCAAACTTTATATATGTTCCAATAAATAGATAAACATAGCTTTAAAGAAGCACCCTTTCGTCTTTACAATTAATATGAGGTAATGGTCTCTTTAGCCGGATCAACCTGTAAATTATTGCTTTACAAATTCAATATTATGCAAAAAGTATATAATAAAAAAAACACTGAATTGGATTAAGTTTAGGTATTAGACTTGAAAAATAGAACTGAATTCAATCCAGATTATGTATTTTTACGATTCCTTTACCGATACACGTTACCATTCACGACTAAAATGGAACAATTTAATTTAGATTGATTTTATATTCGAATTATGTTTACATTATTGGAAATATTTTGACAATTGGTCGGTCCAAATTACGAGTACGATTCGTAAAGATATTTTTTTTATAATTCGAAAGTTTACTAATTTTTTTATCTAACTATATTTTGCAGAAAATCGGAAAAATCCAAATAAATACCCGTATCCAATGTTGGATTTGATTAGTAGAGATATTTATTCATGATAAGGAAAATGATTTCACATCTGCATTATGAGTAATGTATAATTCAAAGGCCAATTATGGAAACAGCGACACAAAAAAAAAAACACGATAACGACGTTGTTCTTTTCTCTTTTTCTTGGCTTTTAAATTCTCTTCCCCATGTGAACCTTTTTTGCTTTTGCTTCATCTTATCCTTTCTGTCTTTGTTTACATTTATTTAATATAAGAGAAAAAATATATAAACGAAAAAGAAAAACAGTTTCCTTCTCACGTTTTACCATCTCTAATTTTCAATATCTGCATTAATGTGGAATCTAAAAAAAAATCATTGATGGTACATTAATACAGTTACAAGATAAAATTCTAATTATAAACGAAATTTATCGGGATGTTATTTATAATGTTTTCGCTCGAATTTATAAATTTATAACAAAAAATTTGATGTTTTTTTAAAAAATAGATCGACGCATATGGATGGACAAAGACAAGATGGGAAATTATCCATGGAATCGCATTGGTAAGGTCAAGGGGAATAAAATTTTGGTTTCTGTAACAGTTTTTGTATGTCGTGTGTCCATTACTCTACATATGTTTTAGAAATATTTAAAATAAAATATATTCAAACTAGAAGCCAATAGGTAAAGAATGATACAAATTATTTAATGTAGTAAAATTTACATTAAAATATTTGAAGTTTAAAAAATATTTTTGTCAATTTGCGTCTTAAAATGAGTTGATTATAAATAAAAATGCGTCACTAATTTTACTGAAGAAAGTCATACTTCAAATTGAATAACAATTTTACCTAAAAATAGAAGAATATTTTATTAATTAATGAAAAAAGATAGAAGGTGATTGAATCAGATAAACGATATCTATTAATGTTTGCAAGTCTTTTTCAATTATAAGTTGATATTTTTTAGGAAATGTGGTAATAAAAATCCATTTTTTACTATTAAAAGATATTTTCATAAAAAGATAAAAATTTTAAATTTAAATAAAAAACCAAAAAACACCTCACTTTCTAAAACTTTAATTATCTAAAAATCCAAAACAAGCTTCAGATTTAAACAATTTTTATATAAAAAATAGCTTTTTTATAAAATATCAATTTGAAACATTAACCATCAAAAAATCCAAATAAAATATAAAACCTTGACCATTTTCATCACATGCAAATCTGCACCACAACATCTTCTTCAGTTACATCTCACACAGATACAAATTACCAGATACTCACAGAACCAACATATACGTATCCTCTGAGTGAGAAAACACCAGAGCCGTTCAAGCATACGGGGATGAAAGAAACTGTTCTTTGGCTCCAGACAGGAGGGGACATCCATGTACAAACACGACCAGTGAGTATAAAACAAAGATCGGAAAGAACAAAAACACAGATCATGATGAGCATTTGAAACCTCCGCAAGCGATAACCCAGACGACGATGATGAAGGAAAACACTGCTCCTCCGACCATAAGCTTCATCTGGAGGTTCTGCAGCCACATCTTCCGCCTCAGCTGCCTTCCTTGCCTCTGGAAGCTATCCGCCTTTTCAGGACAAAACCCTTTATCAGATCAAGTTGTAACTAACAAACACCTTCTGCATCTATGGATATGCTACTGATAGATGTACCTGGAACTGCAGGTTTTCTGATTTGTCTACCAGAAGTTCGAGCCTCTCTCCCCTGTCCAGAACCTGTTAAAGGCATTCATAGGTTGAAATTAATCCAAGAAAGAGAACCATAAAGTTATGAGAATGACTACTGCACCATTTTCGTTCCAGAACATGGACAAATATCATTTTTGAGAAATCGAACAGCCCAGCTTTTAAACGAGTACAAAGCCATTACATTGTTTGCATTACACTTCAACACACCAATAAAACGTCCGATACAAACATAACCCGTAGCAAATAAAAGCAAGAGGGTAATATTGAGTTGGGTCTTCACTGTCTTCTGACGAAATATCATTGAATGAGAAGAAGGTGACCAATCAACAACAACAAGATGCTATAATGATCATTTGACCCGACTAAACCACAAACTTCCACAAGAAATTTGAATGCATTGCAGACCGAACCGAAGGATGCATAAATGCCCAAAGAACCCAAGGGAAACCAAAAAACAGGACAAGTTACAAACTTTCAATCGGAACAAACATTCATGAACTACAAGACATTCGTGCAGAGCAAACATCCAGCTACACTAGTTCCCTTTAAGGGGAGTCCTAGAAACACAAGCAGGTTAAAAGGGCATTACAACAATCCAATAGAACGTTTACCAGCTCCCCTAATAGACAAACCACATAAGAACGGTAGGTAAAGCGTAAATTTCATATGTACAAGATATGAATGTCAAGAAAAGATAATATCTCATTCAGTAACCATTGATAATCTAAAAGGAATTTGCAAAACATATTTTATTCCATTAAATTGCAATCATGATCAAATTATGCAGATTCTCCAGTCCACCAGATAACACATATTACAATTTATCTGGTTTAGGTTCATCTTTAAATGGTAACAAGAGGAAGTAACTGCCAGTTTTAGCAAGCCTAACTGCCATTAAAGATTATGTTGTTAATTTGAGTCAACTAGCTCTTCCCACAACCTTTGCTTTATAATCATTGTCTAAGCCTTCTTACAAGAATTCACATGATATACCATTCAATCAAAATCGGATCACACCAAATCAAGTATAACCAGGAGACTATGACTACGACTTCAGATCAAGATGCTCAGAATTGTTTCATCTTTTCCTACAACAACAAATGTGTACCTTTTCGATGTTGTCCATCATGATCCCCTTGACATCGGTTATTTGGGCCTTCAACTTGGTAAGCTTACTTATTTCCTCTGGATGGTTTATACAATACTCCATGTGCTCCTTAAGTCTAGGCCTATTTTAAACAACAAACAAAACTCAGTGCCAAATTGTAGCCAAGTGAATCCACCCAGATGTTATTGTAATGTAGTCATGGCAAAACACAAACCCGAACTCCCTGTCTAGATTGTAGGCAATGCTGAACCCTACGGTTTCGAGAACAGGGAAAAGGATTCTCTCCTCCATTTGAGCATGCTCAAGCATCAGCTCCTGAAGCTGGGAATAGCTCTTCCCGAATTTCCTCATCTCCATCTTCGGCGTTCCCGCCGAAGGATCCGCCGCCTTTCTCCCTCCACGCGCCGCCAGATCCTCCGCCCACCTCGCCAGTCTCTCCACGTGCCACCC